TCAGAACAAGTTTATGCCCCAACCCATTACAGTTTTTGGTGTAATGCGAGTCAAATTGCCATGAGTTTGCGATAGCATCATGTTAAAAGTGAGACGTCCAACTGCAGATAAGAGCATTCAGATTGAACCTCTTGACGATGCCGAAGTAGTAAGCGAAGTCGATGTTTTTCACAATGATTAGACAAACAGCTCTAAGTTACTTTCGTGGTAGTGGTGGTGGTGGCAGTGGCGGTTGTAGATGTTGATTTGGCCATGGAGACTTGTTAGCAAAAAGTTCCCTGTTTTAAGAATTTAATTTCCTACCTTGGCGACATGTGACGGCGTCTTTGAGGTTAATTTATGCCCCTTTTTCAAAGGAAGGGGTTTAAACGAAGACGCTTCACTAAACTGGTGGGCAGACTGATTCTCTGGTGCGAAAAAAACCAGATCTGCGACCATTAGAATTGTCCCTCCGTTGTCAATGTCAACACGACTTGGCCTTTTAAAATGCGCGCGTCGTAAACCCCCCTCCCTACGCAAAATGATGCTGTTTGTGGAAATTTACACACGAAATAGTTTCACGCAAGTCTCCAAAATTCCGTGCAAAAAATCACCAATTTCAATGTCCTGTCAGTTAGAAAAATGACCGCGCGAGATAACATCGCGCATGTAAGCATACCTTTTAGTTCGCTAAACCGTCAGGAGCTAATCAATAAATTATCGATCCACACGATTGAGCGTTTCGACCAGCGCAGGCGTTGTGTGTACAGCATTGACCATAATTAATCCAAACGTCAGAACAAAATTTTCCAACACGAATCCAGTTTAAAATTCAAACTGATAGTCACGAACGCACCCTCGGATCGTCAATGCCAGAGATGGAAGCTTCGGGTCGATCAAGGACCAGAAATGCCGCCAAGTTAGCGGTGTACGAGGCGACGATGATCATTGCGAAACCCGCCCACACCATGCCAAGAGCTCGCGTAGAAAAGGCCTTCGGGGTCTCATCACCGATGCCCGAGTTCAGCAGGATGCCCCACGTGAACCACATGGACGAGGTGAGGTTGAATTCGTCGGGTTTGGCTCCACTGGAGGCGGTGGAGGGGGTGTTCGCCTTGTCGTGCCTGTGCTTCTCAGCGTCTGTGCTCTTGCGGTGGAAGCAGCGGATGGCGGAGTATCGATCGAGGAGGTAGAGGAAGAGAGCGACGACGTTCACCGATACCCCAATTAACACCCAAAGAGTGCTTTCGAATGGTTGGAGGAAGGACGCCAAGTTGGATTTCGATCTCTCCTAAGAGCACAAAAAGTCAGCATCAATAACTGGGATGTTTGACTTCATTTTTTTGCGCCGATTTCTCAGCAAATTTGTTTGGTGCGAAGCAATAAAGAACAATTAAGTTGATCTTGGAAATATTGTACATCATTTTCGATGACCTTGCGCCATCCCTCAGGTGGCGTACGGATGTCGTCGCGAAGGAAACTTGCAGGCTTCGAGGCAATGAAGTCACCGACGAATTTACGTACATCGTCCAGCGTTTCAGGAACTGTTTGTCCACTAAGACGTGCTGCTACTGCATTAACCGAAACAAATGGCAAGTCTGGTGAATTCTCCGCGTGTGGGAGAACTTCCGATCCCAAGTTCAAGAGGGTCTTCTGAGTCGCACGAGCAGCGAGATTTGTCATGCAGCAGCAGCAGTAGCATGACTTGCCTGCTTCCTTGCCCAGTTGATGGCCTTTTCTGATCAAGTTCTTCGCTCATTTTGTGCAAAGGTCGGCTGTAGTCATCCGCAGTCCCGGCTTGATGACCAGTTTGCAGGAGCTCGTTACAATCGATACACCATGCATGTTCCGCCAGATAAGCAGGAGAACCATTTACAAGTAGATGTCCTGTTTCGGCGTCGACACACAGGGCTACCCGGGATCTACCCACGATTCTACGTTTTACATTTGGGATTCTCGTAAATAATATACATTTCAACAGAATGCACATGTCCATACGTTGACCTAGGTTGTGTTCGGTCAACGCATTTAGTGGTGCAAACGGTGTTTACGTGACTCCAAACTGAGCCGAAAACTCTTGGTGAGTCTGCTTTGAGTCTTCATCCGGTAGAGCTTGCGATCCCGCATCTTCACACCATTTCGAGGCTGTTGTCAGGGACACGGCTGGTCGCGAACCCCGAAGTCACCTCTTCTTAAACGTTTGTACAAATAAATTCACTTTTCACAAGACAACGTTTTCGGCACCAAGATCACCTCCGTTCTCTAAAAAATTTGCATACAATGCTGTTTATCAGTTGCCATCGTAAACTCTATTAATCTGAAAGTTTGTGTAACTCACGTCCAATCCTTTCAAAACCACGAAAATATTTCGATTTTAAATATAATTTCAATCTCGAAGCATAAATGTGTAAAAAGTTAGTCATAGGTAAGAGTGTTCTGAATCTAAGACTGCAACAGGAAGTTGTTTCCTTGCCTTGCCAGTTTTTAAAATGTCGAGGGAAAATGACACTATCCAGGGGTTTGAGCGGCCATCATGTGACACCCGCGTAAGTGCCCTGTCGAAAAGGAGGGAGGCGTTGAACCAACCCCCCCCCTCTAACCAGACAGCTACAGCCACCTCAATGCCTTGGGACGGGGGGAGGGGGGCAAGGGCCACAAGCACTTTTCTCACTCTGGTGATAGAGGGAAGATGCTGGTTGTGCTTCTGTTTGAGTGGTCTCGCTACTCCACCCACCCGCCACACTCAACGGGCTACGTGTTGGATGAGTTTGGACACGATCACATGCCACGATTTGCGCCCTCAACAATATCGACAACGTCAACAACAGTGAGTCACCACCATTGTCTCCAATTTACTCAACTAAAAACTTGGCTCATGCGAAATAATCGATCGATTTCATCTACTGTTTGCATGACTACTATCGATTTTCCCGTTTGCCAATTGACAGAAGTGCCACGCGCTACTTTAGTGCCCATTAAAATCAATAAACATGATACAACGTTAGACAAACTGTCATTAGGTAATGTTGCTTCAAATAAAACGAACATTACATCATTGTTTGATGCCAAAATTATTTCTTGTGTGTCGTTTGTCTTGAAATCAGTCCTGTTTCGCCGCAAGATTGTTGTAGACACGACTTTAAATTAAGATTGATGAAGGCTCGCTGTAGCACAATATTAGCTGGTTGCGTGCCTAGTAGTACAGAAGATGCGATCTTGTGATAAACGATACTTGGTTTACAAGCAGTTCAAATTTGATAGACCACTAAACGGAAGATTTTAAACCGCTTCTACCACGTGCAACCAGCAGTAAAACTCTACTCGCTGATGAAAAACACGATTACAGACTAGCCACGTGATCATCGCTCGGCATTCGTGAGAATGCGCTGCTTGTTTTAAACTACTTCCACTCCTATTGAGGTGTTAAGTGTCATTGAGGTAAGCGTCTCAACATGGGTCTGTATTGAGCGTTTGAGGCACACAGACACGCACCCTTTTGACAAGAATGGTGATGCCGAGGTACTTGAAGGGTTTCGTGAACTCCAATCGGGTGACCCTTTCAGGCGTGATTGTCATTGGAGCAACGGAAAGGTCAGCCAGCCCCGAAGACAGCTCGCCGACGATGCCTGTCCAGACTTTGGTCTCGTTGGTCTGCATGACCACCTCCTCGCCCATCTGACCGTCTCCGACGAGATGCAGTTCGTAGGTGAAGGCGGTGGCGTTCTGGTGGGGGCCCGTGCGATTGGCCAATCGACGCAACAGGTCGATGCAGTAGCCATAGCAACAGTACTCGGTCACTTTGCCTGCAATGAAGGGCGTGGGAGGTGTCAGTTGTACTCACACGGACAAGTTTGTCGCGAGAACACCCCAATGACTCATCAGGGGTGTGAAAAGCTGGTTAAAAAAGGTGAGTGTTAGAGCAAACTTAGCTGGTCCAACACGATTCCTGTGAAAAATCCCCTCACCGAAGCATGCCAGAATGGTTATATGAATCCAGTAACTGGTTTTTGTTAGTTGTTTTGTAAAAATCCGTACCTCACGTGATCCCATTAGCATCTCCATGGTTGCAACCAGCTTTGTATGGCATTGTGTATCGGAGTTTATCTCGTTCTGCGTTGATTTTGTTTAAATCAAGACAACGAAGCATTGATTTGAAACTGGGATTATGCTGTCACGCATGAATATCGATTTGGTCGTGTCAGTTCTCAACCGAGTCAGTTCTTTGGAGAATCAGTTTGTTTGTTTTAATGCCTGACTGACCTTGTACAACACCCGGTCGACACAACTCAACATTTAAAAATTTACTCTCTTTCCATTGGAAATCATTGTCTTCGTTCGCCATCCATGGAGCCAGTTTAGGCAAAGTGGAGAGACGCTGTCTTCAGATTTCGTGGAATGCAAAAGTGACCAGAGTACTTAAGAGACTACGATGTTATCAGCAGAGAAGCAAACTGTCAGCATGTGGTACCGCGTCAAGACCTCGACTTAACGCCAAGCGAAAGTTCATTTAGTCAAGAAAAAGTTGGTCTTTTGAACACTGAAGGGGCTGGCATTTCGTTTTTGCAAAGTTTATGGCAAGTGGACGCACTGCGCTAAATTGCCGCGGAAATGGCATCAATTTGACAAGCGTGACGAGTCGTACCATATCAGGGGGACGTTTGATCGCTAACAATTGAGATCCGTAAACTTTTAATAAATCAAACCTGTGAATATACCATGATGAGACAGTGATTCTTGAGTCTTTTAATAGGTACTTAAACAACGCCGGATTCGTCGAAAAAGAGGGATGCATCCCACAACTGTTTGTTTAAATTAATTTGTGCGCAAGGTCAATATTGAAAGTAGCAAATTAGCAGCAACAACTTCTGTTTGGCTGCGTTAAGTGAGTTTAACAAAAACGCCTAAAACGTTTATTTTGTCTGTGTTCCTGTTCCCGGGACAGTTGGGATGTTGTTTGGTCGATTTTAAAATGGCGACTTCAGCCGAAACGATACACTTCCCCTTATGTAACATTGTCACCCTGTTAATGATTTTATCCGTGATTTAGTGTTAAAAGATAATCCACGGATAATATTACTGACGAGATCACTTTACCACCAAGAGTCGATGATTTGACTGCGTTTCGCCATTAAAACCAGCACGGATGCACTTCGAAAATCGATATCTGGGTTCTGCTATAAAGTAAAACGTGTTTCCATGGCCAACAGAAAGAACATATCTTGGATCCGGTAACAAAAAGTGCTACGTTTGCCCGTAACAAAGAGGAAACCACTCAAATAACGGTACCAGATCCCTAGCTGACGCTAGAACCGACCTTCCCACACTAATGCAAGAACAAGACCAGAGCTCGTGTAGAGAGATTTAATCACGTCAGCCACGTGCGGAGTGGATTGTCGAAAGTGAAACTAATTCAAGTCGAGGTTGACCTTGACCTGATAAAAAGCGTAATGAAACACATGTTAGTGAATTGGTGTAAATTGTGCCAGAAACCAACGGCGAGCAATCTTGGGGAATCGTGGACCCCCAACAAAAAGTGATTAAAAACTGTCGACGTATGACAAAATAGTGAGATTTCTTAAACTAGGAGCCTTACGGCGAAGACCGAATAGTCATGTGGCTTGTGGTGGGATTGCAGTGGACGTATGCGTTAAGAAACTTCTTCCACACGGCCAGACTATAGCTGCGGTGAAGTACTACGAGCAATTCACCCAACACAACGTTGACATTCAACCGAAATATGCAAATTTGGACAATAGCGGAAAGGCATCATCTTTCACCATGACAACGCCCGACCACATATCACTCAACAGATACCTCACGAACTGAGGCACTTACAATGGCAGAATTTCCCATCCCATCTCGACTTTATTTGAACTGAAATCACACAGCCAACTTGCACCAACAATAAACAAAAGAGACTTACAAAAATTATGACCAAAAGGGAAGGTGAGTTGATCGTACATCGTGGGTTTGAGTTATGCCTGAAATGGGTCATTGTGGTTACCTTCATCAACCTATCAGCAAGGATCTACCGGATCTACCGAAAAGCAGATGGCGCATTTCGGAGGGTAAATTTGTAGGCATCTAGTTGACTGGACATGACCCTCGCTGTCGTGAATTCTGATTTTGCAATACCATTGGCTATTGGCTCCCAAGGTCGATTAATCGATTCACTGAGGTACCATGCACTTGAGGCATTCGCTCCAATTTCGCTGTGGTTTCCCAGTTATTAAAGCCGTGTATATACCTAGATTAAACCAAAATCAAATAACCAAGGAATAAGGTGAAGAATGCTGCAAGATATCTGCTCCAAGCATTCGTGTGTTTCGACGTGCAGGAAGCGAAGTGATGATTTTGTGATTCTTGTCTTTCTGTCATAATTTGACGCAAGAATGCATTAGCGTCCGGCCTTAATTGCAACCCACCATCGCTACACGACAGTCCACCCGTGTACCGAAAAAAAATCGATAACGAATGGTTGCCGAAGGCCTAATTAAAACTTCAAGCACTTACAAGACGACTTTAGTCGTGGCATTTTTTGTGCAGGGGTGTAGCACCCCTCATCCTCCCACCCCGTATCCCTTTCTCTACCCTCATTCTCCCTCCCCTCTCCCCGGCGTAACCCCGTCTGGCAGCTGCATTAACTCCTCGTGTTGAAGACTCCGGCGGTTCTCTCGATCGGCGGCAGATACGCTCCATTCCGCCTCGTGGTGTCAGTTCGGCAATCATCTTTTTTTCGACAGCGTTTCTTGATCCTTCTAAAACTTTTCTGCCCTAATTTAAAATTTATGTGCAATTTTTAAGATGAATACGGTTACAGAGACACACAGCTTTTTGGAAAATAAATGCAAAAATAAGAAAAAAATCCTCAATGTTGCGACCGGAATTCCACTCCTGGTTGGTACATCTGAGGATCAGAATCGGTGCATACCGTTAATTAATAAAAGTAATAGATGCTCTTATCTGCAGTTGGGTGTCTCACTTGTAACGTGATGCTATCGCAAACTCATGGCAATTTGACTCGCATTACACCAAAAACTGTAATGGGTTGGGGCATAAACTTGTTCTGACGCCAATTCACAAAAAGCGGACCCCTACAAGTGATGGAATCATTTTGCCTGGCAAGAGTACATGCAGTGATGGCATCTGTGTGTTGACAGGTGCGATAAAGACATGGCTGCCTGCAGATGTGTCGGTGGTCAAGGTCGATTCGTGAATTGGACCTTGTCGAATTGGATGTGTCGACTGAGTCCTTGAGCACAGTTCCCTAACCACCCTCCCAAACACACACACACACACGAAGACGGTCCCTTCTGTTGAAGTTAGTGTCTCAGTGGGCGTGGCAGTTAATCAACTGTCAGGAAAGGGCTCACACTGTTGGACAGGAAACAGAAAGAGCGTTGGACACCGTGGGAACACGCATGGTGACTGCACCATAAAACACGCACACGCACACACACACAGTCAGGAGTTGTCGTGATAGTGACAGGTTGCGGGATGGATGACCGAGTGTTCAGATGTTGGTTGCGTAGTGTCAAATAAGTTGGGTGTGCGAGTGGGAGAGGATCAGCAGGCCGTTCAACCGCCTGATTCCACGAAGTGAGGTGATTCGACGCGAACTGGCTGATCGAGCAACACCATGGGACCAAAATCGATTCAAAGCGAATTGTTTTTGCCACTTCAGATGAACGACTATGCCTGATGTTAGTGATGATAGTTGTCATAGTGACCCCAAGACTGGTCACGCGGGAGCCTACTTCTGTGTGTCAATTCAGGGTTGGCTCAAATTCTCACATGGAGGTAGTTTTAGTCAGCAGGTTAGCATTCCTAGGCCTGCAAGTGCACACTTGGATCGATAAGAATGGAAACACAGATCTGGATGTCCTGTAACCTCTTGTTGCCAAATGCCTCACACTGACCACACGATCGATCCAGTTGAATTTATGTGAAAGCGCCTACTGCACCAATCACGTTTAATGGTGCCTTCACTCTGACGCTGACACCACGTCGACTGATGAAGTGGTTTACACTCAATGCCTGATTTGCTTGGACGTAAAATATTTCTGAAATAATTTTTAAAAATGAACAGCTTACAACGACAAGAACACAAATTAGGTTGACTTAATGGGACTGGTTTTTGTGTCATTTTCAGTGAAACACATTCTAAAGTGTGCTCGCGCCGTATCTAAAGTTAAGTCCTTTGTCATTTTTCTTCATTTTTCAAAATTTGTATACTCTCAAGGAGTTGGGCATCTGAGTTTTCACACGTAACCAAATCTTTCCAATTCTTGATTGGTTGGTACCGTTTTGCCGCGCCTTATCAAAGCCTTGTTTTCTGTTATTATTCAGTCGACACCTTCATTGATGCGTATTTCAGTAATCATAAGATGCCGCCATCTAACTCCTTCTAGACATGATTGATTATCGTGTATTGGTGTTTTAAGTCAATATTTAAGCGTCGGACGTTAGTTGTAATTTAATGTCCGATTGGTCGACTGTTTTATCCCTTACTAAATCAAACCGTGTCCGTGCATCATTACCTTGATTGGTTGGCGAAATCTGTCAATTGGGCCTAAATTGGAACACTGAAGAGGGTGCCGTGTAAGTCCCTCTTTCTGCGAAACCTCAATGACTGATTTGGTCAATTAAATTTGAATCGTTTGACCACTCGGGCGACTTCCAAATGGACAAGCGTCAGAGTTTCACACATAACTAAATCTTACAAATTCTTGGTTAGTTGGTGACGTTTTGCCGCGCCTTATCAAAGTGACTAACACGAATGGTCCAATAGAAATCATCCAAGGTCATTTTTTACAAAATGAGCAAATTTTGTGAATACTTGTAAGCTTAGTTACAAAAAACATCAAGACACTTCCCCAGTCACCTACAGACAGTCGCATTTGTGGAGGGCACGTTGGCAGTCGTCTGGACTTTTCATTGGTGCGTTCAAATTAACTAGCTTTAACTTTCCCGTTGGCTTGGAATGGTCTCTGGTGACCCTGATGGGACGCCTCTCTTAAGTTTTTTTCTCAACGCGATGGGCACTTCATTTTCTTAGGATAGACGAGACGGATTTGAAGAAATGACGAGTTATGCACGAGTTTCGGCTCAATTTAAGTTTAGCGTGACCTCTGGTGACCCTACTGGTGACTTTATTGTTACTGATTTTTTCCTCGATCTAGAAATTATTTTTAAATAGAAGTGCATTCGCAGTCTTTTGCGGTTTTAAAAGGCTCGGACGCAAGGTCTCAGAACACCGAGCGACCAGTTTACTCTCAAATTAACAGTTTACGAATTCCAAGAAGGCGAAAAGGCTTCGAAAGGACAGGGCTAATTTATTTG